GGGGGGGGGGGGGGATAGAATGTGGATCTATACGGAGAGAATTTTTCATTAAAAATTATCGTGAAACTTACGATACTTACGGGACATGCTGGTATTTTATAACATATTACTTATACATACAGGGTGTCCCATTTTAATTTAGGCACTGCAATATCTCGGAAACAAGGAGTTTTTGGAAAAACTGTTTGAGACCAAAGTTGTCGGGCTCGAAGGGGGCGATCTAGTGAGATACCTGAATTTTCCACTTGGGGCTTGTGTTGGGCCCTGTGAGACCCAAGTCCATTTTTTAAAAATCAGAAACACTATTTTTTATTGCAGATTTATGTTGTATGAAAAAAAATAAGTAAGTTTTGTTCTTGATAATTTTTCGATAAACCCTCTGCAAAAGACGCAAAAAGTCCTCGAAGTTGAATTTTGAAATACGTTACAAGTTCTGGTTTTTTATTAGTTATAATAGTAATATGGACTGGAGATTTGATAATTTGACTAAATTGAAGCTACAGGATGTTAATCCTGCCAATTAAGGCAAGATCAACGAACGACCCAGCCAATGCACAGTGGGATAGAAGCTAAAAAGATTGGCCAAAAGACAAGATTTCGTCTGATTTGTATGAAACTTGATATGAGACGGTTGTTGAAGTCTTTGATTTTGAATTTGAAGTAAAAAAATTCAAAATTCAGAATGGCGAATTCAATACGGTGACCGAAACTTAAAAACTTTACATAATTTATATGAAACCTGGTATAGGGGTTGTTGAGGTCCCTCGTTTTGAACTTGACGTCAGAAATTACAATTTCAGGTTGATTGTTTTTTTGTGAGTTCCCTAGCCTCTCACAATTCCGAGGTGGTTGTTTTTCCACTTTTTCTCCTTAGTTGCTATTCTATTATGTATACTATTCACTATGTATACTATTCACAAATCTTTGTACAATAAGAGATAGGTGGAAAACAGAAAACAGATGACTAGGACACACATAATTCGTGCGTGATTGACCTCAAGACGCGTCAAGATTCTCATTTTTTAAAATGATTTCAATATGAATTTAAAAATTGTTTAATGAATTTTGGGCCTGTTTGAGCCCAAAACAGTCACGGGGCCCAACATTAATTTAGATTATCAAATCGCCAATCCATATTGCTATTGTCACTAACGAAAAACCGGAACTCGTAATGTATTTAAAAAGTCAACTTCGAGGGCCCTTTGCGTCTTTTGCAGAGGGTTTATCGAAAAATGATCAAGAACAAAACTTATTTATTTTTTTTTCATATAACACAAATCTACAATAAAAATAGGGGTTCTCGTTTTAAAAAAATAGACTTTGGTCTCATAGGGCCCAACACAGGCACCAAGCTAAAAATTTAAGGTATCTCACTAGATGGCCCCGTTCGAGCGCGATAACTTTTGTCTCAAATATTTTTTCCAAAAACTCCTTGTTTCCGCGATATTGCAGTGTCTAAGTTAAAATGGGATACCCTGTATATTTAAGAGCAACTCACGAAAACATACTAAAAAGTAAGCGTTAAACGTCAGCTTTTACTGAAGTGTACAGTAACAATTTCAAAACTTGAAAATATATTGTGTAAAACTGTAGCTTTTACCCTGTTAATTTAAAAAATTCATCTAAAACAGCCGAATTATCTCGTGCGCTAGATACAATTTTATCGTGGAGTGGATTACTATTCATATCTTGGGAGTCCCGATAAACATTATGGCTTTTTATATGTTTTTCTGAAGACTTCTAAGATTTTTATCGTAAAATCTGGTAATAAATTGTTTTTGTAATTATGGTTTCTTTTGAAGTTAGCTTAATAAAATGTCTTTTGATTTATATTTATTTGCTTTAGTTATTCTCTCACATACATGCAAAGAATTGAAAATAAGTATTCGAACAGTATAATTCAGACTAAAAAAATGTAGGTTTATTAAACAATTTGTATATGGTTCTACCGTAGAGATCGAATAGAGAGCTAACTTCAGTTGATGCTGTACTCCTAAGTAACACTATACATCTTGCAACGAAGTGAAAATATCGATCAGTTTCTGGTTATATAAAATCAGGTGTTTTTTTTTTTTTTTAAACAACAGCAATACTTACATTAAGCCAGGTAAACGTGAAACCATGAAAATAGGATCAGACAGCGAGTAGGAGGGGGAGGCAATGGACGAGGGATACGTATCAACGCCCGAAAAGAACGCGGGGAGATAAATGTGTGAAACGTGAAAAAGTGAAAAGTGATGGACACGGAGAGATAGTTTTTTTTTGAACGAACAGTATTTCTTTAAAATTTTTTTGGTCAAGTAATATCTGCGAATATCTCGGCTGCATTTTCATTCTGTTATTTTTCTTGCTTTTCTATTTAATTTTTTTTGAATGTAACAATTGTGACGTGATTTTTCGAATCACAGTCCCAAGGCAGCTCCGGTTTTCAATACAGATAACATTCTCGATTTCTGGTTCCCTTCGAGTCGCCACCCTGCTCAGAAGCTACGCTCTCGGGTTGATTCGTACAGTTATGTCAAGGCTCTCGTAAGATTTTGTTATTGTTTAGTTGAGGTCGAGGTGCTCGAATCTGCCGTGGGGAGATAGTCTCGACGTACCGAGTTGCCCGGCAGAGGAGAGTACCCGACGGAAATGTCTCCACGGACCGGCAGAAGCCCGGGTGAGATACCGGCGCCCCGCTGGAGATGGGCAAAGGGCTGTAGAGCAGGCGGAGATAGTTTTGATACGGTTAAGGGCAGAAGAGGAACCTCCTGCCCGAGTTAAGGATGTGGTGCCCAGCTGTCGCCCGATGCCCTGGGGAAGCGGCCGTGGAGGATCCCAGAAATTACGTACCGATTTGTTAAGGAACGCTCTCGATTTGGTTTAAAGGGACGACTCGAAGGAGATAGAAGAGTTATCGGTTATGAGGCTCTCGACCATTCAGAATGATTAGTTCTCGGATTTGGCTATTGTCAAAGCAGTCTGTCTCGGGGCACCGACCGAGGTGTCACGGGCTGGCTCGTGCTCCCGTGCTATCTGTTGATAGTTTTTCTTGCCGTGTTTCGCTACGGTATAGCAAGTTCTCGATTCGTATAGCTCTCGCGTTGTTCTCGCAATACCAAGGGAATTTGATGAATTCCTGTGTGTTACGAAGGTGTAGTGCTGTGCCTTAGTGCAGTGCTCACCAGAGTGTCCTTTGGATACAGTTCTCGGCCTCCACGGATTAGCTGTACCAGCTCCGGTGAGGACTCCCAATTTATTAATTGGTGAAGGGATCTCGATAGAGAGTTAAGATTAGTTCTGATACGTTCTCGGTTCGTCGCTCTCTGTCTCTCGCACTATTTGCCGGACTCTTACTCCGACCCTCTCTACCTCAAACCTAGCAGCCTGAGCGGCCGTGCATTTCCGTAACCGTCCGCTCCCGTTCGTGTATCCAGTTGCGTTTGCTGATTTTACGCGACCCCAAAGATCAGCACCTACGGTTGCCTTTCTCGATTTTACGCGTCCCCAAAAATCGACAGGATCCGTTAAGCTATCGCCTCGTCTGATAGGTTCCGTCAGAGTTCTCGTTCTTGGTGGAGTTGGGCCTGTTCCACCCCAAGTCCCAGTTTATACCGGCTCGTCAGTTCCCGGTGAAAAAAGAATTGGCTGGCCCCCGCCTGGCTTGTGGATGCACGAACGACGGGTGGACGGCCGAAGGTAACGTAGGTTGGTTCTCGAAGATAGTCGTTCTCGTATGTTTTGCTATCGGTGTCGGGTCAAGTTAAAGAAAAATTACGTTACAGTATATAAACGGCGACGTTTCGCGACTCGAGCATTCTATCACCTGAGCTAGCTAGGTTACCTTTAGTAAAGTAAACGTGCAAACCGTTTCGGGCAAGCGGGCAAACCGTCCCACTTGACCATCATTTCTAGAGGTCCTTCTACTCTTGTAATCGAGCAAACCGTTTTGGGTAGGGAGCAAACCGTCTCTTC